GCGAAAATATTCAGGGGTTGGTTCATTAGGACAGAAAGCGATTTTTCGCGTTTCGCTGCGCGAACATTGTTCGTTGCGGGAACCTCGGGTCTACTGATGATCAGCGGTGGACCTGAGGTTCCCGTAGCGGAAAATGTTTCGCGCTGCGAAATGCGAAAAAGCCGCTTTCTGTCCCTAGTGAACCACACCAATATCATCCCTTGCTTACCTGACGTTTTGCATGAACATGTTGACCGCCGTGCTACTTAGTTGGGGTGGGGGGGAACCACGTCGGCGGCGCGGCAGTCTGCTCGCCTGGCATGTTCGGAAATCCGTGGGCCAGGGGGAGTGTAGGCAGTCTAGGGGGTGGGGGGGGCAGTCACTTGACATGCGTGAAAAGCTGGAATGTTCGAGTTTACACTGTCTCGCTCGAGAGAGCCCAGGTGAGCAGACTGCCGCGCCGCCGCGTGCCCCCCCCCCAACTAAGTTAGCACCTTTGCTCTTCCTCTGTGCTGGTATCACAAATTGATTAAAAACATGTTTTATTACTTAAGAGACCATGAAAAGTGATTTGTAGAGGGTGGGCAAGAAATGGAATAGCGTGCTCGAGTGAGAATAGCGCTTGGCGGGAAGGTGTGGAGTTCAAACTGGTTTGAGCGCGAAATCGTTTGTTGCTGAAGCGTTGGATCGCCTTTCTTGTATTTTTCCCATTGCTTTTTCCTTCCGTTGTTACTTTATCATTGCACTATATTTATGGTGGTTAAGGTCTTACTTTTACGTGCCCAAAATGATGTATGATGAATGATTTTTGAGAGTTACTGAAAATCTGAGAACTTTCCAGGCAGTCATGAATGTCGCTGCAGGAAAGTGTTCAACAGGTTGAGGATGTGGATGGTGTACGGATTCAAGCGGAGTTCAGTCGTTTCATAAAAGAGTGAGTTCAGATTCTTTTAATGACGATCTTCAGACACGCTTCCTCATAAGTTCAAAACCGAATTCGTGCATTTTGGTAACTTTTTCTAAGGGTTTCAATTCTGAAGAGTCTTCTTCCTAGATGACTTGAGCATCTATCCAAATATCAGAGTTAAAACTCTGGTCGTGACGTTACGAGAAACCATAGGCTCCCTTGGTAACTGAAGAAAAACAATCGCGGCACCAAATTACTAATCGCAACTTCAATCGCTTGGTTCCGTATCTGCTAGCTTGGGTCTTAACGGTCGTCGATATTATTGTCTAGGGAAGTTACGTGTGAGCTGCAAAGTGAACAGTTGAAATATGGCTCACATGTGCTCCAATTGGGTCTCTAGTAAGGGGGGGGCATCAAGTGGCTGCCCTCACCCCCACCCCCCTAGACTGCCTACACTCCCCCTGGCGCACAGGTTTCTTGAAGTACGGGACCCCGTGAGCCAGGGGGAGTGAAGGCAGTCTAGGGGGTGGGGGTGAGGGCAGCCACTTGACGTTGCATCACAATGCCCCCCCTTACTGGATGAGACCCTCAATTTTTGAATTTAGCGCTATGGATGCCAAAGTAATAGATTGTTTGGAGTTCTGATTCTTGTGTCTCATTTTTGATTCAAAACTAACCTAGCGGTCAGGAGGATTAGCGGGGAGCAGGGTCGGTCCTATCGTTGTTACTTTTCGAAAAATTTTACGACCCCCCTCCCCCAACGTGGATTTGATACGACCCCCTTTTCCCTACCTCCACCATCTCCATCTTCCATCAAAACCCCGCCCACTTTTCCTCCAAAAATGCCGTCGAGCGGGGGGGGTATATAGTCACTCTGAAACGGTAAATATCTCCGAAAATTTCCTTCTATTTCCACCATTTCAACCCATTTTTACCTATACTCCCACTACTTCCTTTTCTAGGGGGGGGGGGGTTCCACACGTAGTTCGGAAGCGACTAAATGTGGGTCGGCCCCCCTACAAACTCAACCAGGTACGACCCCCCGTTGGTACTTGTACCAACGTAGGGTTGACTCTGCGTGGGACCATACCAGATCAACTGCATTTCAATTTCTTTAGAAAAGGTTTGTTCCTCTATCACTGGTCATCATACTGCAGATTTATTGCTGCCCATTACAAGAGGCCTTACTGCGGGGGGGGGCGCGTGCTTGTAGGACCAACAATTGTGGGTATGAGATTCTGCGAAGACTGTGCTTGTGTGCAAATCTTATAGATCTTTGCTGCTTCAGATTCACTGATACTGATGGGAATTTGGTCTACCGGAAGCAACTTCCATGAGCTTTCTGAGCCGCAAATATAATACGCTTTTCGTCGACATGGAATGTTCATTCTCAGTGCTAACGCTCTATTGAATACATGATATTGCATTTCTACAGTGAGCTCTAGTTGATTCTCCACTCATTGAGCTGGTAACCTAAGCAGTCGAGCTTGAAACAATTACTGGTGCTGTCATAGATGGTTGAAATTACAATTTATCTCTTGTATCTGTAAAATCCATGTGGATATAAAGGTTGTACCCATACATGTGTGAAGCGCTACAGTTGGCTGCTATTGATAGTTGTACTGAAGATGTTGACAGGCAGCGCATGTTACGCAAGGAAGTGTACGTCTCTTTCAAAGGCCTCGAAAATCGTGTGAATGTCAGTGCTTACTTCACGTAAATATAATCGTTCCAAAGTTTCATTTCGTAAGTTGGAATCTTTGAAGTACGAGAGTTGACAGCTGAAAAGATTGGTGCGATGGTGTGTATAAACGGTCAAATTGTACGAACACATCCTGTTCATCCAGAGTTGAGTCGTGCAACTTTTGTTTGCGAGGATTGCGGTGTCACTACAAGGAACGTTCTGCAACAATTCAGATATACTCAGGTAAGCTGCTTGCCCACACGTGTTGGTGTTTGTGGGTTCGTGGTTTTTTGCTTTTCCAGAATTTAATCAGCATAACTTTGATGCAGTAAGTGTCTAGCCGACTAGCAGGTTCTGATGAATCCTAGTAAGCTCGTACGCTAGGACAGTAGTAAGCAAGTCTTGAATCATTATTTTCAGGATTCATATTACCTATTTCTCCTAGGAAGAAAGCTTGTGTGTATATTTGGCTCATGAAAAGATTAGTGATGCTCAGTGTTTTACACAGTGGTGTGGTTCGTTAGTACGAGCGACTATTTCACTTTTCGGAGTGGGAACCTTTTTAAGCTGCAGGAGCTCCACGTTTGCTTCTGATCATTAGTAGATCTAGGGTCTCCGCAGCGAAAAAAGCTCTGCGCTGTGAGAAAAGTCGCGTTCTGTCATAGTGACCCACACCCTGTTCTACACAGTGAATACTTATCTGATTCTCATTATGATCAATTGAAACTGAAACTACAGACCTTTTTACAAATGTCTTTTCAGCCATCGCGGTGCGTCAACCCGCAGTGCATGAACAGAACAAGTCAGTCTTGACGATAGACGATACGTTTGCGATTCAGAGATAAGATTCAGAGTGGATACGTTTTTCATTTATGTCAGAATATTTTTTTACTAGGAAAGTTTTGTACAAAAAGAAGATGATTCTAGAATCATTTTAGGAAACCCAAGCCGAGCTTCCCCGCGGTTCTGTTCCCCGAACATTTGATGTCATCATTCGTGGTGAAATGGTTGAGTCTGTGCAGCCCGGAGATCGCTGCATGCTCACGGGTACACTTATCGTTATTCCAGACATCGCAATTAAGCTCACCAGGTAAAATCATAGAATTGCAACCTGATGCTATGGTTGTTTTCATTTTCATTTGCTTTCAGGTCTCAAGGCTGAAGCTGGTGGTGGAAATCGCGGCCGTGCTTCGGAAAAGGACACAGGTTTGACAGGATTGAAAGCGCTCGGAGTGCGTGATCTCTTAACTACAAGCTAGCTTTTCTTTGCTGTCACATTGAATCAAACAAATTACAAGGTGAGAGATCTTTAGCCGCATTTTAGCGTTCTTTCACTTCCTTGTTTATTCGTCTCAAACACTAAAGAAGTTTTGACTACCTTAATAAGTCTTTCACATGTTTTCTAGAGCAGCTGGGATGTTAGCTCATACGTTCTCCTATTTTTAGTTCGTGAATAGATTCCATACATGAACGATGATAGTTCTTTCATTAGAGAACTATCCTTGTCCCAGCAGGAGCAGGCAACATTGAAGGCGATGAGCGAGGATAAGCGTATTGCCGAAAACTTGATAGACAGTTTGTTCCCCAACATCTACGGAAACGACGAGGAGCTAATATCCTTCTGTACTGCATATAACCTCTATTTGGACACGTTGTTCATCCTGATCGATGCTGGATTTGTTTTATTGAATAGCTGCCTTAAAGGTCAAACTTGGGGTACTGCTCATGCTGTTTGGAGGAGTGGCAAAGAAGAGCAGCACCGAAGGAACCACACTGCGTGGTGATATCAATGTTTTCTGTCGAGTGACCATCAAGCAAAAATTTCAGTCTTGAAGTGAGTTTGTTTAATTTCTCTTGATAGTTGTTTCTATTTTAAAACGCAAATCATAGCATTTAAAAGAGGAGAAAGGGAAAATGTCAAATTCACCCCCTTTTGTGCTTGCATAATCTTGATTTCCTCTTCTCTTCCTCTCTCATTCGAGAAGTTTTTTCTAGATTCACGAAAATTTCTCTCTATAGCAGTGAGCTCACTGCGTTATGGTAAATTGAATTACTTGAATCTAGGTTCATTTGGACTGAAATGAAATCAAGAAACATAGGAAAAATGCTGCTCAAGAGATGTGGAATAACAACTATGATGATAAGTTCACTCGAGAGATGGGAGGTTGTGGACCTCAGGCTTCATAAGAGCTTGGCAACGATTCTAATGGAGAAAAGTTTGGTAGTTGAGAAATCACAGCACTTGGCTTGACTTATATTGGTCCACACGCTAGTTCAAATAATAAGCTGAGGCCGGAAAGGTGACAACGTTATGTAGCGATTTGCATTGAAGCCCAGATCAATGTATTTAAAGGAAGCGATTACGATAAAGAGGAGCGCATCGGGGAAGCATGTGCACCACACGAATCAGTTACTTGGCTGCCAGGGAAGCGAGATGTGGCGCTTTCACAACGAAAGGTGCGCTGGTTGCTGAGCAGGACTTCGAAAGCACTCCGCCCCCAAAAGCGATCCGCCCACTAGTTTACTTGGTGATTTGGACGAGCTGCGTTGCCAGCAGCGGCACAACTGGAGCACTCGATTGAAGCGTGGTTTGGCATGGTGCCACCAAACGCGTTGCGGTGAACTCGTTCATACGTCCGCTTTCTGAGCTGTTACCTGTTCATGAGTGAAAACCAACGGCCAAAAAAGGGGTCCCGTTTTGCGTTTTCTTGACGGATTTTTCTGCTTTTTTCGCTACTGGCGTACCATTGAGCACCACCACGTCACACTAAACCCTTCTTGAATTTATCGTAATCACTGCCTTTAACGCAGAAGTGATGCAATTAAGAAAAACTGAGTGTTTTCAGGACTGTCGAGGAGTTCTGTCCACGCGCCATTTACACGTCAGGCAAAGCTTCTTCTGCTGCTGGTTTGACAGCTGCTGTTGTCAAAGTATGTTACAACTTCCACTTCATAGTTTAGATTTTTTGTACCATTTCTATCCCCGGACGTTTTGTAGGATGAAGAATCGTTCGAGTTTGTGATCGAAGCAGGTGCTTTGATGTTGGCTGACAATGGGGTTTGCTGTATTGATGAGTTCGATAAGATGGACCTGAAAGATCAGGTGGCTATTCACGAGGCTATGGAGCAACAAACTATTAGTATAACTAAAGTAGGTCTCTAAAGTCATGTTCGGTCAGAAGTTTTTTCATTACTCAATTGCTTAACTTAAGGCTGGTGTGAAAGCGACACTCAATGCGCGAGCTTCTATTCTGGCTGCCGCAAATCCAGTAGGAGGCAGATACGATCGCTCACGTCCTTTGAAGCACAACGTTCAACTATCAGCACCGATTATGAGCAGATTCGATCTGTTTTTCGTTCTGATCGATGAGTGTAACGAGGTATTTCAGTCGCAATCCAAGTTCTTGTTTTGTTCCTAAACTATGCTTTTAAAATTGGTGTTTAGGTAGTCGATTACGCTGTAGCTCGTCGTATTCTCGATAACCATCGCGCTATTTCTAATCATTGCCCGCGCGAGACAAAGTATTCTCTTGAGGATATTCAGAAATATATAACATTCGCAAAGTGCTTCAAGCCTCAGGTTTGCTTTATTTTACTTCTTCTGACAACGTTATGAATGTTTCATGTGGAAACCTGAAAAAGTTAGTATGTGGCTGTTGAGTATTTTTTTTAAGATTAGCCCTGAAGCAGCCGAGGCATTGGTTACGTCATATAAGCGTCTTCGCATGAATGACAGTAACAATGCAGCAACGTCATCGTGGAGAATCACTGTGCGTCAGCTTGAATCCCTCATACGGCTCTCAGAAGCTTTGGCTCGTTTGCATTGTGCTGCGCAGGTGAGTTCACTCTGATTTTCGTTCTCTACAAAGTACAACCAGAACTTTTGCAGGTCAGTGTGGAACATGTGAATCAAGCTACGAAACTGCTGAGCAAGTCGATAGTGAGGTGAGTTTGTTTTGAGTTTCATTAGCGGATATTTTTATTTCCTGGCAAAGGCTAGCATGAACAGGCTAAAAATTCTGCTATTAGCAAGCCATTTAGCTTCAGCTCACAATCATTCGCCTACTTAGTGTTTTTCATGGTATTTGGAGGCATTT